CCCCCCCCCCCCCTCCAACAGTTAGCCAGTCAGCCAGTCAACCAAACAGACTCGTGGAAGATAAGCCAAAGTTTCGCGATAAACTGATACCGCAGAGTGCAATCCCTCGGAACAAACGCAGCTACTTTGGAGGAGCAAGAGCTGCCTTTATGTTGTGTAATACATAATAGGATACCAGCGAGAAGGCATACACCAAACAGCATGATCGTATATCATAGGTTAGTGCGGTGCCGTCCCATTCTACTGTTCTACTGTTCTACTACTCTACTAGTGTACTACTCTACTATATGCAAGGAGTCTTCTGGAGAAGACTGGCATGTGAGTAGTTTTGAGCATCTGATACAGTACACACCGGGGATGGACCAGAGGAATTATCGGTACTTCTGCCAGAACCTCTGGTACTGTGCACCGTCCATCATCCATGACTTCCTCACAGTTTCAATAATATTTTTCGCATCTAAGTATACTGACTAATTTCAGATCGACAGCCGACCGAAACATAAACCGATTTGTTGGCAGTCTAGGGGAAATAGCGGAATCAGGTATACTGAGACCAAAAGAAGTAGGGAGAGAGAGAGCGAGAGAGAGAGAGAGAGAGAGAGAGAGAGAGAGAGAGAGACTTGTCGCGCAGGTAAGGTAGCACATGGCCAAGCGGATGGATCTAGGAACAATGAAGGCCTCGAGCCGATACATCACTGCGTACCTATACGAGTATTAACCGTCGAGGTTTCCTTCGGGGAACTGTCGTCAATGTTCATACTTCGGCTATGTTAGTACAGCAGTCATTGGAATGCTATTTGTTACACATTTGATTCATTTGTATATTTCAATCATATTCTGTAGTAACCAGTATACTACGTGTTAGCTTTGTGTGCACGCACGGCTATTTATTAATAATTAGAATTATATGAATTGATATTTTACGTTACTCGTTCATGTCAGAAAGTTTGTATAACTGCGGAGTAGAAGGTTAAATCTCGAAAGCTTCTTATTTGTCGATTACGGCATCAATGATGGACAGTGTACATATAGTATATTATATAGGGTGTATGCATAGGGAACATATAGAACGTGGGTAAATATAGTAGAGTAAGTGCATGCATTAGAAGTAGAAGGAAGGAAGGAAGGAAGGAAAGGTAGGCAAGGGGGTTAAACGGAAGGAAAGTAAGAATTCGCATTCTAGGCTAATAACGAGTAGCGTGGGAGCGTGTGGGGAGTGGAAAGTGCATAGGGGGTGGTGGGTCTTGCTAAGTTTTCAAACGACGGGAAGAAAGTTTACGAGGCGCGGGCTAGTGCGATGCTGCGCTTGGCCAATGAATAACTGGAAAATAAGTTAAAACTTAGCCTAGACGCCAGGTGCACCTGCCGAAATTGCTTTGGTATCGATTTACTACGAAAGTGGCGGTTTTAACGGGATGCTGAACAGGTAAACGATCTTGGAAGAATTCATTGTGAATCTTCCTCGGTCAGGGATATGGTGTCTTATGGGAGTATTTTCGTGACGGATGGGTGATTCCCACTGAGGGGTGCTTGCGTATAGAGATAGGGAGAGGAAGAGAGAGTGTATTGGTCATTGGCTAATGGCGCCATGTGGCCGAAAAATAAGAAGAAAATGAGAAAAAAGGAAAGTAAGCATCGGAAGGAGGATCCTACTGGGCCGGCAGGAACGACGAGCCAGCCGAGTTTTTTCTCTCTTTTTTTTTCTTCTCCTTTCTTTCTACCCTTTGGCGTTTTCCTAGTCTGCCTTCAGCCTTGTCCTACCCTGTCTCGTTCCTCCGTCTCACTACCGTCCGAGACGGCCTTTACGCCATTAAACGTACTTATATGAGATACTAGCCGGTAGCCAGCCGACCGAGTATCAATCAAGATAATAGGACAATAAATATCTAGCGCCCAGGCGACCACTGGCTAAGGTCAAAAGTGCAGCAGCTTGCAATTTCTGCCCGATTTCCTGCCGGACCTGGTCCAATAATTCACTCCTTTATATCCGCGGAATTTGCTGCTGCTTAAGCCTCCTACCGGAAGTGGGGTGGGCACCGGGAGTGGAGGGTTCGAGGACGAGACGCCGACGCCGATACCGACGCCAACGTCGGTACAGTTCCAAGTCCCAGTTCTTATCCGGCACTTTTTATTCTTTTTCAGCCCCAATTAGCCTGGATCGAAGTATGTGGAATCGGCCGGAAAAGATTGTCAGTATCAGTTACGGGAGCACTCTTGGGGGGTCAAAGTGTAAACTTGAAAATACAGCAAGTATCGCGGGCCAGGTTCTGAGGTAACTCGGGAAAAAAACTTGCTTCCTTAATATATAAATATGCCGCGTGTGTATTAACTGTTGAAAAGTACAATATATAAACTTATTTTGCCCCTGCATAAAGTATGAAGCTCGGGCTTCTGCCCTGCTAGACAACCTAGCAGCCGAGCTAACTATTAAAAGTTGCAAATTGCTGCAGACACGCTGCGGGTCCGCCTATACGGTCGTTCCGTGTCTTGGCCACTCGCCCTTATTCGTTCCACTACCCCCTAATTCCTACCTCCTCGCAACGAGCCCGAACTACCCTGCCGATCCCATATTCCGTACCCACAGCTTCTTCCGCCAGCCGAGCCCATCTTTGCCCCTTTGACGCACCCTGCACCGTCGACGTCCCACGTATGACGTATGATGACGTATCCCGTATATCGAAGTGCACGTCCCTTAACACAGTTATGGGATAGTTGATGGTTATCGTGACATCCGCCATCGAATGCTCCACCGTGTCCAATTTGCGGCGTACAGTTCCAGTTGCATCCGCGCACCTCATTAAATCCGCCCAATTATTATCTGGCTATCGATGTTTCCGCTCGGTTGCGGTCCGCCATTTCCAATATCTACACCAGTCTACCAGCTCACTGTACAGTACAGCTGAGTCTGGAAAAATGCGAAAACCTTGCCGAAGGAACGGGAATGACGTCGCGACGCGCTGCGCCGCAGCCGTCCCCGTCGACGACCACGGCAGCCGCATCTTTGTGAGCTTGCTTGTATTTCCATAAACGCATGCTTACGTAACCATGCAGCACAAGGAAGCTCGGTTAAAATTGACCGGAAGTCAGCAGGTGGTCATTGAGAATTTTTAAGAGAGACAGTAACATGGCCGTCGCCCATAATATATACAAAGCTTCGGCCAGCCTAGACCGACGTCTTCTCCTTCCCCATGAATACGTGAACGGAAGGGCTCCGTGACGGCAGTCGAGAAGGAGGGAAGGGAGGGAGGGAATTATTTGCCGTTTAATTACATAGATGGGCCCGGTTGATTCTGTATCCCCATATTTGCGTAGGATTGAACTTCCCTGTCGTCTGTCTCTCCTATGTACCAAACGAGAACTATCCTATAGATCTACGTCGGAGGACCGATTTCCAGCGTTGCTTCCTCTATAGCTTGGACGTGCAGCCAGCGTGAAACACGTTGAGTCTACGAACGAGTCCGTCGATCGGCCGAGTGAATTTGTCACATAAATATGGACATAGCCGCTGCCGGCGCTTCCTACTCTGTGCTACGAGTATCTTAACATTATATGTTAAACTTCCGTTTACATAGAGTCAATTTATTCAAACGGGGTGTCCTCGATATAATCAGTGCATCGGAATGATCATTACGAGAAGCGGCCTGATTTTCACAATAGGATACAATTTCACACGAGCGTTTATCGCGTAACGTTGCCCGGGGTCAGCTGTAGTGTCATTTTAATATTAGATTTCGAGACGTTACTATTAACAAGGGTAACGAGTGAGAGGAAGGGATGGAGCGAGCATCTGTTTACTACCGGCATCCCTTCCGCACGGTAGCTTGCAAATTTGGATTTTATGGAGCGACTAGTGCGCCACGCCGTCAGTGGCTAAAATTAAAAGTAATGATTCAATGTAACCGGTCGCGTGTCTGAATTAACGCCTATGGGGTCGTCCGTGTTAGTGACACCATTTTTCCATTACGCCGTGTTGCTATATCCAACCCCCTTGCCCCCTTGCCCCCCGTCGCCAACCTCCTCGACCCTGTCGCACATCGTCCTATCGCCTAACCTGCCTGGAGGTTTTCATCGTTAGGACGTTAATATACGATTTCTCATTTGTACATTCTAGACAATTTCTTTCATTTTTTTTCACCCGGGATCAGAGGCGAAGGATGTGCTTTTAAAAAATGATAAATAGTTTTACGTCGAATATTCTCATTGTTGCGAATTAATGGAGTATGCGGATCGCTATCGATTCGCAAGAGGCGTCGCGACGTCTTCGCTTTCGAAATTGAATGGTACGGGGCCACCTTATTCCGACGCTTCCTCTGCGATGCATTTTAGTATCTTCATTTTTCCAAACGGTTCGGTTGAAATGACTTTTACTATCTATCGAATATCTCCTACCCGAGCTACACCCTGATGCATGAAGAGTACGAGTATACGACATCCTTCCAGCATCCTCCCGGATCCTTCCTCCCATTTCGTTCCCTTGGTGATTCCTATTTTTTTTCCTCTTCCACTTTTCTACCTCCTCTCTCACGTCTCCCACACCCAGGCAGCAGTTACAGGATGCTGCAGATACAAAGATCTGATTCTTCTGTAAAGATGATTCTTGTACAAAGAATTTCGGAAAGAGATAAATCTCCGACTAATGTCGATTCCCAATCGTGAATATAATTAATTCAATGAAGCTAATCTGATTGTACAAACCGTATGTAGTATGGACTGATGCGAATGATGAAACGAATTTTGAAGAAATAAGATAAAATTTACTAATAAAGGGTTAAACGTTTGTTTCAGGAAATGAAAGTCAACTGGGCGACGTCGCCGGGAAACCAGCCGAAGCAGGACACAAGTAGTGAGTAAAGCACTTCTTTCTATATTCATTTTTCATTAGAGGCAGATCAGGCATTGGATTTTAACATTAGCGAAGGAAAATGAAGAGGCATTCGAGTAGGGGAGGCTGAGAGGGTCCATGGCTCGTGACGTGGAGGCGCTCGAGCACATTGGACTTAATGGAAATTCGGGCTCAAGTACATTCCGAAAGGACGCGGTACGAAGGTGTGCTTGAAATTCAGTACGACACGGAAGCAATATTTAACTCAGTCTGAAATTCTTCTTTTTATGGACTTGTAAAACCGTGACAGGCACATGGGACTCGGCTGCCCCGTTTCTTCATCTCCTTTCCAGCATCTTCCATCTTACCTTTATCCCTTCTCATTTCGCGTTCTTCCTTCCATCGGCGCCGACGCCCCCGTTGCGACGCCGCGGCTATACGGCATTTCTCGTATCTCGTTCTTCCTCCTTTTCCAGCATCTTCCAGCAACCCAGCATCACCGGATGCTGGCAGTGCTACCGACCCTATGCCATACCTTCTCTATCTTCTCGCTGGCGAATGCAAAACTTAAGCATATACACATCCCTATTCTCTTGGTAAATATGGGGATGCGGTTGGTAGGGGCCTTCGAGAAGAAATGCCGCTTCCTCCGGGACATCGGACGAGGGCTAGGAGTTTCAGTTTTCCTCCTAGACAGCAGTAAACTTGGAGATGCACCTGTGCAACGGCGTCTCGACGCCCAAGCAAGCTGCAATGTAAGGCTGCTAAACTTCGAAAAGTTGATCGTTTCTATACTTTCGAACGACCTGCTGTCCTGCAGTCTACGACTATATTTTTCCTCTCCAGCGTCCAAACTTTTTTTGGACCTCAAGAAAAAGTGACTTTCGTCCCTGTACCATTGCCCGAGTGTCTGCACGAAAAGTCATGATGTCATTTCTAAGGTCACTATACTAGTAGGTCACAAGAACATCACGTGAAAATAGTAGCGAGTGATCGCGTGTCGTTAAGAAAATTAGCAAGATCTCAATGGAGGGCGAGAGGGAGGAGGGAGGGAGAGCCTAAAGAGCCTCGTCGAGCTAATGGAGCGAGACTGACTGGCTTAGGGGAAAACGAGGGGTGCATGACGCTCAGCGACTGACTGGCTAGGAGGGCTGCCGGAGGGTGGCTGGGGGGTGGCTGGGGGGTGGTCGACCGGTTGAGTTGTTAGGCTGCTGACTTGATAGAGCCGCCAGAGGGATGATTCTTTCTCTGATGTGCTTAGAGGACAAACGTGCTATCGTAATCGAGGATCATTTTTCCTGCATTATGAATCGCAGGGGGATGATCATGCCGGTATTTACGGGACTTCCGCACAAAGGGTTATTCCACACATCCCCACTTGTGAATTCCGTTTATCCGGCAAAGCGTTTGCTGCTGTGCCGTAAGCTACTCGCCTTTGCTGTTTGTAACATGCCTGTACCGCTGTTATCGTTATTAACAAAGTAAATCTCGTTAATCGTCCTATCCCAGCCTTCGTACTCACTCGCTGTTGCCTTTCAAATCCCCACCAGCCTCTACCTTTTGACACCTTCTCTGTAGAGTCGCTTGATTATCCGATTTCGAGCACAGTACAATATCCAAGCAGTATCGGTACAGGTTGCGTCTCAAAAGTTACGCAACCCCGTAAACACCCTTGCACGGCAATAATCGCAACCGAACACACCCTTATGTATTCGTACGAACTATTTTCAATCGGATCAACGAGCGTTTCTTACATCAGACGGTATCTTAGATCTTTGACCGTTATTATTTATATTTTTGTTTTAATATAATTTTTATCGTTTCCAAGCTATAGCTCACGTATGTGTCAATACGTAGGTACATGTAGTACAGATGAGTGCATTGACGTCCGGCCGGTAAGCATCTCCCGTGCAAATCAGACGAACCGAGAGAAACAGGTTGGCGGCCAGAGGGACAAGTGCATCGGGCATTCCCTTTGTGGATGTCGAGGATAATGGCAGGAATATCCATGGTAGCGATGGTGGGTCGTAGTGGGTCATAGTGGGTCAGTCATGGGTCTAGGGTAGCCCAGGCTGGATACAGTGGCCAGTGGCCATGGTGGTGAACGTTTCGTGAGCTGCCGATGGCAGCTGCGGTAGCGGTGAGCAGCGGCGAATCGGTAAACCACGTACGCGGGTTGATTGCGTTCTGAATCGTCCCATCAGTCCAGCTCGCCATGACGCGTCGCGACGTCGATAGAATGGGAATAGGCATTACGGTTTAGAGCGACTTAATCCTTGAATGGGGTGCCAGGAATTAACATTAATGAATACACGTAACAGATGTGGATAGTCAATAACGTTTTTGTATGTCAAGAAAAATAGTGGATTGCATACGGATGCACGGTAGTCGATATATGTATATTTAGGACTAACGTGAAATCGTGTAACGTTATCAAAGAGAATTGCTCCGAGGGATGAGTGGTATAATGAAAAAAATAAAAAAAAAAAAAGTAAAAGAAATAAAAAAAAGGGGGAGATCGTTGTCCTTTGTAGGCGATCCAAAGCAAACACTCGTTAAAATGTATCCCTTTATGTATTCCTTTGTCGAGTAGCCCCTGCGAAGCTTTTGGCGAGTACTCGCGAATTATACAGGAAGACTTCGGCGCCAAGGGGACAAGATATTTACTCTTGGAAAAGATAGAAATTCTGGTGCTCGCCAATGTGTCAATATGCCGATATGCCAATATCGCTCCTGGTATTAAAGACTGCGAATTTATATATGAAATATTCGCAATATTCGGTAACTATCTTGTGGCTGGTGCGATATGTAATAGCTACCTCGGATTAAGAGAGTGGTAAGCTCGAGATACCATAGATACGCTTTTATTGGGAAAACTGCATTTGTCGATCGAGCACTTTTTGCAGGGCTCGTTAATGGCCTTGATTCTTCTTTTGCAACGTACAGGCGGCTCGCAACTCGCTAATGAAAGGGTACGCACTTTAATCAAGTTAATGCAGCCACGCGCGCTACCATCACGTACACGCGTCGATCGTAGAATACAGAGACGCACGTATGTATGGAGTCAGGATACGCGGGTGGGTGGGTTTATGGACGGATAGGTACCCCTTGACTTGGGGAGGGGGGGTCGGTGGCTGCGAGGGGTTCACGGGTGGTATCGGGGGTAGCTGTGTGCCTTTTATGAACAGACTGCCTTCTGAACGGTGCCACCGCGTGCCAACCGGAAATACGAACTACCGCCTACTTCCTGCGAGCGCGTTTCCCGCAGATTAGTTCGAAGAAAAATGCCTAGCCATTTTTTAAGTCCCGTTTTCAATACACACTCCAGAGCTCGAGGTCCGCGAGCTTTTACCCCAGATCCTAACCCGACCTCACCTGACCTCAGTTCTATATTTCCGTGCTCAAGCGATTGTCCTCCTGTCAGCTTGCTTCGATGAATACGTGCCTTTCATACACGCTACGATTTATGAAGTCGCCTTAATACTTACTTCATCCCAAACGACCCACGCGACTGCAGTGTCCTATTCGGGCCAAATGAGCGGCTGCCTCCTCCAGGTCCCAGTTCTTTCATTACAGAGAGATAGCCCAAGTAATCGCTGGCTCCGGGATATCACGTGAGCCTGGATAGTCAGCTGACTAGGTCCGCGACTGTCGCGTGGACTTTGGAGAGTCGAGACTGGTAGCGAGTGCGGCGACTATTGCGTGGGTGAATGGGTATAGTTGAGGGAGGGCTGGTGCGATCGAACGGCGTCCAAACGGCCGGGGCCAGAAATAATTGGGTGAGAGCAGGCAGAACTTTCATGCATTTCTAAAGAGGGTCACCGAGCACGGGGTTACGGGGGGTGGTGTCCAGAATGCGAGGGGTGTCCGGCGAAGTAGGAGATTATACCATAGTGGAGTACCGAAGCATGAGCGGAGGAGCGTGCGTGTGTCTGTGTGCTGGTAGAAGTCAACATTTCCGACCTACTGTCTTTTTTGCATGACCCAGCGCTATTTTTCGGGGAGTAACGCGCGTGGACACACCCCGGCTCGCCTAGTGACCAAGCATTACAGTCCCCGGCCGCGGCGGTCCCTAAGCAGAAACAGGGGCTCTCACCTTGGGGTGGTTTCAAGGCTCTTGGCAAGTCGACCATTTTATTTAAAGGGATGAGAACCCCTGCGAGTCTCATGCGAGTGATAACTCAGGTAGCGTGAATAAGCTGACCACTCTTCGAGCGCACCCCCGTTGGCCGCGCTATACAACAGCCCTGTCGCTGCTCCTGTCTCTGCCCCCCCCCCCCC